GGAAGGGAGGGAAAGTGTCCAGACTGGAAGAGGGTGAAAGTGTCCGGACTGGAAGGGTGGCGGAAGTGTCCGGACTGGAAGGGGGTGAAAGTGTCCGGACTGGAAGTGGGGGAGAAAGTGTCCGAACTGGAAGGGGGAGAAAGTGTTCGGACTGGAAGGAGGTGAAAGTGTCCGGACTTGAAGGGGGGAAAGTGTCCGGACAGGAAGGGGTGAAAGTGTCCAGACTGGAAGGGGGTGAAAGTGTCCGGACTGGAAGGGGGGAAAGTGTCCGGACTGGAAGGGGGGGAAAGTGTCCGGACAGGAAGGAGGGGAAAGTGTCCGGACTGGAAGGGGGTGGCGGAAGTGTCCGGACTGGAAGGGGGTGAAAGTGTCCGGACTGGAAGGGGGGGAAAGTGTCCGAACTGGAAGGGGGAGAAAGTGTTCGGACTGGAAGGAGGTGAAAGTGTCCGGACTTGAAGGGGGGAAAGTGTCCGGACAGGAAGGGGTGAAAGTGTCCAGACTGGAAGGGGGTGAAAGTGTCCGGACTGGAAGGGGGGAAAGTGTCCGGACTGGAAGGGGGGGGAAAGTGTCCGGACAGGAAGGAGGGGAAAAGTGTCCGGACAGGAAGGGGGGGGGAAAGTGTCCGGACTGGAAGCGGGGGAAAGTGTCCGGACTGGAAGGGGGTGAAGTGTCCGGACAGGAAGGGGGGGAAAGTGTCCGGACTGGAAGGGGGGGAAAGTGTCCGGACTGGAAGGGGGGGGAAAGTGTCCGGACAGGAAGGGGGGGGAAAGTGTTCCGGACAGGAAGCGGGGGGAAAGTGTCCGACAGGAAGGGGGGGAAAGTGTCCGGACTGGAAGCGGGGGAAAGTGTCCGGACTGGAAGGGGGGTGAAGTGTCCGGACAGGAAGGGGGGAAAAGTGTCCGGACTGGAAGGGGCGGAAAGTGTCCGGACTGGAAGGGGGGGAAAGTGTCCGGACTGGAAGGGGGGGAAAGTGTCCGGACGGAAGGGGGTGAAAGTGTCCGGACTTGAGGTGGTTAAACTGCACTGGTGTTGCGAACATACTTTTTTAAAATCTCCCTACTATAACCTAAAGCATCCAGAAATATGATTGAGTTAAATAATTCAATAATGTTATTGTCAACATTTAAAATTTTTGTGTGTCTAAATTTAAATATAATAAATCGCTAAGTCGCTATATTCAGGTAACGTAAGCTTTAATGTTAAAGTCATTTTCTTTAGAACAAAGTTCAGCATAGATGTGGAATATGCAGATGTGAACTGATTGACACGGCACGGTTTAGGTGTTTTACTAACCACAATCCCCGCGGGTATTATCCAGTTCAACAGTGGCTTCCTTATTTGAAAGGATTTTTTGTTTTTTTCTCTCTGCTAAACAGTTACTGGACTAGAATTTCCAGAGCCATCCAATTTACTGTGTAGCTTCAGTAACTTGCTTTGTGTGCGTACAGACTTATGGCACCCTATAGCGTAGGAGAATAATAAAAAGTTCAGTTGTATCTAAAAGATATTTGACATAGTAAAGAATGGGAAACAAATGATTTATTTAATAAGAAAGGCAATATTTTGAATCATATAAATGTTTTTTACAAAATTACCAAGAATTATTTATGGCACAGACTCCTTTATTGTAGAATCACTAAAAGAGGCTGGGGGGGGGTGAATATGGAATATGTGAACAATGGCAGCAGCAGCAGAAGCCAAAAAAAAAATAGTGTACATATGGTGCAGCGCTAAATATAAATATATAAAGTGCACTAAATGCAATAAATAAATCAAATAAATACCAACATACGGATCCCAAAATAGGGAACTTAAATTAAAGTGCAAAAATCCTTAAAGTGCAATTGAATCAATAACTACAAATGGGTCATTATTCTAGACCCTAAATACTGTGAAAAACTCCAAACCCAAATCCCAAATTTGGGGATAATACACACCAATAATGTAAACAAGGTGAATCCCTACAAATGGGATGAATATAAAGTGACAAGTGCCGAAACACAATTATGTGTATACCAGGGGTGTCCAAACTTTTTTCAAAGAGGGCCAGATTGGATGAAGTGAACATGGTGGGAGGGCCGAACATTTTTTCCGAACATTCTTTGAACCATTACAATTAAATGCAAATAAATTATTTTATGCCAAGTTAATTGCAAACAACATACTTTTCATTTCATAACATTAAGATCAACTGACAGCTGAGTTTTCACAATGTATTGAAAATAAATAAAAAAAAACTTACCTGCACTAATGTGAAGGGTGAAAAAGGTAGCTGGAGCTGAAGGGGGGTTCTGTGGGGAGCGGACGGTGAGTACGGAGGTAGGGGGGGTTCTGTGGGAGCGGACGGTGACTACGAAGGTAGGGGGTTCTGTGGGAGCGGACGGTGAGTACGGAGGTAGGGGGGTTCTGTGGGAGCGGACGGTGAGTACGGAGGTAGGGGGGTTCTGTGGGAGCGGACGGTGAGTACGGAGGTAGGGGGGATTTCTGTGGGAGCGGACGGTGAGTACGGAGGTAGGGGGGTTCTGTGGGAGCGGACACGGTGAGTACGGAGGTAGGGGGGTTCTGTGGGAGCGGACGGTGAGTACGGAGGTAGGGGGGTTCTGTGGGAGCGGACGGTGAGTACGGAGGTAGGGGGGTTCGCTTGTGGGGAGCGGACGGTGAGTACGGAGGTAGGGGGGGTTCTGTGGGAGCGGACAGGTGAGTACGGAAGTAGGGGGGGTTCTGTGGGAGCGGACGGTGAGTACGGAGGTAGGGGGGGATCTGTGGGAGCGGACGGTGAGTACGGGAGGTAGGGGGGTTTCTGTGGGAGTGGATGATGAGTACAGAGGTAGGGGGGTTCTGTGGGAGTGGATGGTGAGTACGGAGGTAGGGGGGTTCTGTGGGAGTGGATGGTGAGTACGGAGGTAGGGGGGTTCTGTGGGAGCGGATGGGTGAGTACGGAGGTAGGGGGGTTCTGTGGGAGCGGACGGTGAGTACGGAGGTAGGGGGGTTCTGTGGGAGCGGACGGTGAGTACTGAGGTAGGGGGGTTCTGTGGAAGCGGACGGTGAGTACGGAGGTAGGGGGGTTCTGTGGGAGCGGACGGTGAGTACGGAGGTAGGGGGGTTCTGTGGGAGCGGACGGTGAGTACGGAGGTAGGGGGGTTCTGTGGGAGCGGACGGTGAGTACGGAGGTAGGGGGGGTTCTGTGGAGCGGACGGTGAGTACGGAGGTAGGGGGGGTTCTGTGGGAGCGGACGGTGAGTACGGAGGTAGGGGGTTCTGTGGGAGTGGATGGTGAGTACAGTAGGGTAGGGAGGTTCTGTGGGAGCGGACGGTGAGTACAGAGGTAGGGGGGGTTCTGTGGGAGCGGACGGTGAGTACAGATGTAGGGGGGTTCTGTGGGAGCGGACGGTGGTACAGATGTTAGGGGAGAGTTCTGTGGAGCGGACGGTGAGCACAGAGGCAGGGGGGGTTCTGTGGGAGCGGAGACGGTGAGTACAGATGTAGGGGGGTTTCTGTGGGAGCGGACGGTGAGTACAGATGTAGGGGGGGTTCTGTGAGGAGCGGACGGTTGTTACAGAGGTAAGGGAGGTTTCTGTGGGAGCGGATGGTGAGTACAGAGGTTGGGGGGTCTGTGGGAGCGGATGGTGAGTACAGAGGTAGGCGGGGGGTTCTGTGGGAGCGGGATGGTAGTACAGATGTAGGGGGGGGTTCTGTGGGAGCGGATGGGTGAGTACAGAGGTAGGGGGTTCTGTGGGAGCGGATGGTGAGTACGGAGGTAGGGGGGTTCTGTGGGAGCGGACGGTGAGTACGGAGGTAGGGGGGGTTCTGTGGAGCGGACGGTGAGAGTACTGAGGTAGGGGGGTTCTGTGGAAGCGGACGGTGTAAGAGTACGGAAGGTAGGGGGGGTTCTGTGGGAGCGGACGGTGAGTACGGAGGTAAGGGGGGTATTTGTGGGAGCGGACGGTGAGTACGGAGAGGTAGGGGGGTTCTGTGGGAGCGGACGGTGAGTACGGAGGTAGGTAGGGGGGGTTTCTGTGGGAGCGGACGGTGAGTACGGAGGGTAGGGGGGTTCTGTGGAGCAGGACGGTGAGTACGGAGGTAGGGGGGTTCTCTGTGGGAGAGGATATGGTGAGTACAGAGGTAGGGAGGTTCTGTGGGAGCGGACGGTGAGTACAGAGGTAGGGGGGGTTCTGTGGGAGCGCGGACGGTGAGTACAGATGTAGGAGGGGGGTTCTGTGGGAGCGGACGGTGAGTACAGATGTAGGGGGAGGTTCTGTGGGAGCGGACGGTGAGCACAGAGGCAGGGGGGGGGTTTCTGTGGGAGCGGGGACGGTGAGTTACAGATGTAGGGGGGGGTTCTGTGGGAGCGGACGGTGAGTACAGATGTAGGGGGGGTTCTGTGGGAGCGGATCGACGGTGAGTACAGAGGTAGGGAGGTTCTGTGGGAGCGGATGTGTGAGTACAGAGGTAAGGGGGGTTTCTGTGGGAGCGGATGGTGAGTACAGAGGTAGGGGGGGTTTCTGCCTCGGGAGCGGATGGTTGAGTACAGATGTAGGGGGGGGTTCTGTGGAGCGGATGGTGAGTACAGAGGTAGGGGGGTTCTGTGGGAGCGGATGGTGAGATACAGATGTAGGGGGGGGTTCTGTGGGAGCGGATAGTGCTGTCACTTCAGCTGTGGCTTCTGTGTTTATAAGAGACAGTAGATATGGGTGTGCTCAAGGCCAGTGGCTGAGGTGGTGGAAGGGCGTTCCGCCATGTTCTGGCTGAAAAAAAGCCTTGATCACAACTAGGTCTTATTTTTGGGGTAGATCTCTTATTTTAGGGGAAACAGTGGTATATACATAATTTTGGATTTCCGGGTATATTTTCCATTGCCCGTGCCGCCATTGGCAGCTTCAGCTGTTGATCACCGGATCCCAGATGGTTATTCCCCACCGGCACCCGGCGATTGCCGAGTATCACTGATGGGGGAGAGGTCTGTATGTAAGCAATACAGATCTCTCCCCTGTCAGCTCCAGCACGCTGTTTTGTTTTGCTCTGCATAGCAGAGCAATACAAATCAATGTGCTTACACAGTACAAAACACACATACACAATATTAAAACGGCACACAGTTAACCTTTTGATCGCCCCAGATGTTAACCCCTTCCTGCCCAGTGTCATTAGTACAGTGTCAGTGCTTTTTATTAACATTGATCACTGTATTAGTGTCACTGAGGATGTCAGTGACAGTTAGTCAGTTCCCCCCAGTATCAGAATGCCTGCCGCAGTCCCGCAGTCTCACTATAAGTCACTGATCGCCACTAGTATATAAAAAAAAATACTGCCTGGAAATACACTGATGGTTCCTCACTGGTATGGGGGTACCGGTCTGGTCAGATCACATTGCTCCTCAGATCCACACACAGAAGCCTGAAATGCTGGGGCTGACTGTGCGGAAGCTGGCCGGATCTGAGGAGCAAATGTGATCTGACCAGACCAGTACCCCCATACCAGTGAGGAACCATCAGTGTATTTCCAGGCAGTATCCATACAGGACCCCGGCTACGTATGATCTTTACATGCGCATTAAGATTGCGCTTCTGGTAAGTGGGCAATCTATCTATTTCCTTTCGTATTGGGATATTGGATGACATCAGAGCTGTTCGAAGTTTTCCTCTGGACTACTCATTTTATTTGATACGGCTACATCGGACATTTACTGTTTATCACTTTAAAAGGACAATTTATTTGTTGTTTTTCTTCTATAGTGCTGCACTTTCCATTTTTTGTCAAATTTATATAGAAAGGTTTTGTGGTTCCTTTTAGTGCAATTAGCCTCTTGTCAAAGTGCGCTCACTAATCTGCTTATATACAATTAATTTACATGTATTGGGATTTTTTTTTAGCAAAGACATATAGTAGAATACATTTTGGCCTCAATTTATGAAGAAATTTGATTTTTAAAATTTTTTACTGGACATGTTTACTAGCAAAAAGTCAAACATTTTGTTTTTTTTTTTCCTCCCAAATTGCTAGTCTTTTTTTGTTTATAGTACAAAAAATAAAAAATGCAGAGGCGATCAAATGCTACCGAAAGCTCCATTTGTGGAAAAAAGGACATACTAAATTTCGGTGCAGCGTTGCATGACTGCGCAATTGTCAGTTAAAGTAACACATCACCACAAAAAATGGCCTGGTCAGGAAGGGGGGTAAATCCTCTGGAAGGCAATTGGTTAAGATCTAAAGCAAGTATAAGAATCCAGGTTCCTGTCTCTCCCTGTTCTTAGTATTATTTTGATCACTGACATGGAACAATCATGCAGGAAAGTCAAAGTAAAATCAGAGCTGCATCCTGTCCTGATCAGAGACCTGAGTGTATTCCTCTGATCAGTTTAATATGAATGCCAGGGAACTAGCATCTTTCAGAAGAAGAAATGAAATGGCAGCATACGTATGTGAGTAAAAAGGACAGGATTAATGTATTGCAGGGACGGACTGACCATTTGGAAACTCGGGCACTGCCCGAGGGCCCGGGGTCAGTAGGGGGCCCCATGAGATGCCCCTGGTACCTTTTTCATAGGCTTTTTTGAGTTTGGGCAAGGACACAGGGGCCCCATGATCCTCTATTGCCCGGGGGCCCCATGAGTTGTCAGTCCGCCCCTGATGTAATGTGATGGAAAAGCAGCTCACTACTGCTTCTGTGTGACTCACTTCTCCAACACATTATACTACAAATCCAGCTGTGAAGCATGGTGAAGGTAACATCATAATATGGGTTTGTTTAACTGCCTCAGGGCCTTGAAGGTTTGAAATGACTGACCATTTGGAAACTCAGGCACTGCCCGAGGACCCGGAGTCAGTAGGGGCCCCACCATGAGATGACCCTGGTACCTTTTTCATAGGCTTTTTTGAGTTTAGGCAAGGACACAGGGCCCCCATGATCCTCTATTGCCCGGGGGCCCCATGAGTTGTCAGTCCGCCCCTGATGTAATGTGATGGAAAAGCAGCTCACTACTGCTTCTGTGTGACTCACTTCTCCAACACATTATACTACAAATCCAGCTGTGAAGCATGGTGAAGGTAACATCATAATATGGGTTTGTTTAACTGCCTCAGGGCCTTGAAGGTTTGAAATGACTGACCATTTGGAAACTCAGGCACTGCCCGAGGACCCGGAGTCAGTAGGGGCCCCATGAGATGACCCTGGTACCTTTTTCATAGGCTTTTTTGAGTTTAGGCAAGGACACAGGGGCCCCATGATCCTCTATTGCCCGGGGGCCCCATGAGTTGTCAGTCCGCCCCTGATGTAATGTGATGGAAAAGCAGCTCACTACTGCTTCTGTGTGACTCTCTTCTCCAACACATTATACCACAAATCCAGCTGTGAAGCATGGTGAAGGTAACATCATATTATGGGTTTGTTTAACTGCCTCAGGGCCTTGAAGGTTTGAAATGACTGACCATTTGGAAACTCAGGCACTGCCCGAGGACCCGGAGTCAGTAGGGGCCCCATGAGATGACCCTGGTACCTTTTTCA